AAAAAAAATAATAATAATAAATTTGGGGGCGTGTCTTGAAGGAAAGTTCTTAGCTTTGAAGGAATGTGTTATGGAATTGTATGTTCTTAGGATTTTGTTTTGTTGCATTGTGGTATATATAGAAAATTTACCTTTCTGTGTATGTGTTTCTGTGTGATTTTTTGATTTATGCTTGTCGGTATAGAATCTGTTCATTTTTTTTTTTTTGTATTTCTTCGTTGTTGGAGTAAGGGTGCGATATGTGTATTGGATGTGGTGCAAATAATTTTAGTCTCTGTTTCCCAATTCATAAATTAATGTCATTGACAATTTGTGCTCTGTTGACTATTTCACAGTTAAGTGTTTTTCTGTTTATTTAATTCCGTGTGATTGTTGTTGTGATTGATATATTATTGATCATCTGATAGTTTCCAAATATATATATCACCCATTAGAATCTACCTGCAAAGATAATTGATTGAATGTGTATTGATGTCATTGTCATGTTTTTATTATTGCATCTGTAATTTTTCTATGCAATCTTTGTTTTCTTGGATTGTTTTCACTTTGTGTGAGTCAATTTTGTTTATTGTACGGTGGTTCATTTGTGTGTTGTATTCAAAGAGGGACTGAAGCAATATCCTGTCTTTTGAATATGACTTCGATTCTAATAAACTATTCCAGAAGGATGAAATATTTGAACTTGATCTTCTACTAAGCTGAATTTCTATTACCCGTGAAGGAAATTGGATTATTTAGATTGATATCTGTGGATTTTATCTGCCATGGTTGGAGGGAATAAACGGCATAACTATTATAGTAGTGCTTTGCTTTATGCATATAAAATCTCGTTGGCAAAATAATTCATCTAAAATGTAGAAGTTGTAGTTAGTGGATAGGCGACAAGCCTTTTATGGTGTTGGTACTGTGGATTAATGCTATGTTAGTACAATACTGAAATGGATTTCAGTCTTTGTAGATTTCAATGTTCACGATGAAGTGTGCGAGTATATCATGGAAAGTTGAGTGTAGTCACTAGTGATGAGATCAATCTCTGCTTAGATATTCTTCTGTTGTAGGTATATAGATCATCAATGGGGGAAAATCCATAAAAAAAAGTGGAAAGGGAAGTCATCATAGAATAGATTCCATCATGATTTAGTTTCTTCTTATAGACTTTTCAAAGTGCTACTTACAGAAGGGTGGTAACCATGTCGTTTAACTAACAATCTGTATTTGGTGAATAAGGTGGAAAATTTTAGAACTTGTCTGTCTTATGTCTTCCTCATTTTGTAGGGATTGGGTGTCATTGCATACTGCATAGGGCTATTCCGAGCTGGTTTCTTCCTTATGGGTTGAGGTGTTCCTAATGATTAATTTAGGTCCTCGATTGACAAGAGCTGCATGATTCTGTTTGTCTGAAGCACACTGTTACGCAATCCACATTAGCAGTGGATGTGCACAGACTAGCCAAAGTATATGTTTCTTATAGAACTTTGTTTGATCCATTAGATTTTTCCTGGTTCCAGTTCTCGTAAAATTAGCTGTTTTCATTTGTCTTCCACTCAGCCTGAAACCTCAGCTGTCGTAGGAGACTCCAGTTTTTGCACTTATTCCTCTCTACGGCTGGGGTAGGGATGAAGGTGCTACCAGAATATGTCAAGGTTGAGTTTTTTTAGTTTACTGTCCATCACCTAGAAGGTTGAGTGTACTCCAACTCTTTGCTCTTAAACCTCTCTACATGCCTTCCTAGGGTTCCCTTTGCTCTTTTCAACTGCAATTCTTTGCAAACCCAAAATCGTCCAAGCTTTTGTAGATCAATATCCATGTTTTTAATTCTTAACTCCTGTATCATGAGTGAGGAGCTTACCAGGTAGCAACCTAGCCTTTGGTTGGGAATGCACATTCTTTCTACCAACCAGGTTTTGAACTTTGACTTCGATTGTTGCAACCCAGCAGATTAGATACCCAGAGATGAATAAAGACCACCCGGGCTAGAATCTTTTGATTGAAGAGAAGTCAATGGAGTCTGGACTGTTGTAGAAAGTTGTTTTGGGTAAGTTTCACTTGTTGAAGGCAGCTGGGTGCAAACGCAGACTGAGGTAGGCTTGTCCTTGATGGATAATGAACACATCTCTGCAATCTCTCACACTTTTTCCCATAATTTTGTTGCCACTCTTTAGAACACGATTGATTTGTGATCTGTTGCTTTTACCTTAGGTTGAGGCGTTTACTGGTGGTGTCCAATCTAGATGGATATGAACTTCCTTCAAGAATCAAGTGCCATGCAATGCTTACTATCCACAGATGGATGCTATGGAATTCTTCAGTGCTGCTTTATAGTGATTAACTGGGAATCATATAGGTTTACTTGTTTTCATGAAACCTCCTATTGCAGTTTTGCTGATTGGAGCTGTTCGACCTTAGTTGGATAATATTCATGGTGATTTCAGTTGGTCTGCCACAGTATGCGAGAAAGCAGCATTGTCATGGGGTNGTTTTCATGAAACCTCCTATTGCAGTTTTGCTGATTGGAGCTGTTCGACCTTAGTTGGATAATATTAATGGTGATTTCAGTTGGTCTGCCGCAGTATGCGAGAAAGCAGCATTGTCATGGGGTGGTAGCCTAGTTGGATGGGCAACTAGATATGCCTTTTGTAGGTTGTAGGAATGTTCCCTAAACTTGTTCCTAAATGCAGGTACTTTAGCCTCCCTGCCAGCTGCTAGGTAGTTGTTAGTTTCATCCAAAATACTCAATGGCAATAACAGTGGAGCATTCGNTTGTAGGTTGTAGGAATGTTCCCTAAACTTGTTCCTAAATGCAGGTACTTTAGCCTCACTGCCAGCTGCTAGGTAGTTGTTAGTTTCATCCAAAATACTCAATGGCAATAACAGTGGAGCATTCAGAGGCCCTACACATTGAGCCGAAAACCATGAAATGTATCACTAGTGAAGTGAACAATGCAGAGGAAACTGAGTCATATTCTCAGCATTCCCATGGAGAGTGCATACCAACAGAAGAACCAAATGATGTTGCAAAAACCATCGGCACTGAACTGCTGGATAGAGGATACTTGCAGTATGGGTATAGTTTCTGTCATTTTCTCTTGTTAATTCTATTGTAGGACCCTTGTAGTTTCTTTGGTAACATTATATGCCTCCTTGGGCAGGTGTTCTCATTATCAACGCAGATGCCAGATTAGAGCACCGTGTTGCAATGAAGTTTTTGACTGTCGTCACTGTCATAACGAGGCTAAGGTGAGTTTCTGCTGTAGGTATTTTACAAAGATCTGCCTCATAAACATTTAGGAATACTTGTTGAATGAACATTGACAAAGTAATAATATTACTAAGAGATAGTCTGATAGAAGACACATTGCACTATAAATGGTAGATTTATGAAATGAACCTAGAGATAATACAATCATGACTCATTTTGTTCCATTATGTGATATGCTCAATAGGATTGTTATGTACATATACATTTCTATGCAGTTAGAGTCAAATGATCAGTTATTCATGTTTTCGGTTGCAAACAGGAAAGAAAGGCATAAGAGTCAAATGATCAGTTATTCATGTTTTCAGTTGCAAACAGGAAAGAAAGGCATATGGCTAACAATTGTTAGCCATCTTCACATCTAAGTATATTTTTCTCCCCTTCTCTCTTACACCTATCGAGCTTTTGTTGATATAGAACCAAATTTTTCTTTATTCACTGCTTTACTGTCTATAGAATTACGATCTTTGATTAGATATGTTCCATAAAGATTAGGTGCTGTTCCGTAGAGTTGGTTGGCCCATGACACTTAACATTGGACTTTTTTTTTTTTGGGGGGGGGGTGTTAAGTATTTTAAGTTGGATGACCAACCTATAAGTGATCTGATGTATATGATTCAGAAATGACTTTTCGGTTTAAGGTTATTACAGCTTATGTCTTCATTACTACAAGAATCCCCCCACCCCCCTGCTCATTGGAATGTAAAACTTTGCTGTGTTGTGTTGCATCTCTTGTGTTTGGTGTTTGGCTTGACATAGTGTTGTTGTGAATATGTTATATGATGTTGATCTTTCCTTAACACTGGCTGCAGAATACCATCAACATCGAGCAGAAACTTAGACATGATATCCCGCGCCATCAGGTTCAACAGGTAAGTCTCTTGCACCTTGCACCAAAACCTTTGCCCAACCCCCGCTTATCTCTCTGTTTTTTAACTTTTTATATTGGTTTTGGAACCGCTAAAGCTAGTAGATAAATTTCTTTTCTGGGGTTTTGTCCAGGTCATATGCTCACTGTGTGGCACTGAGCAAGAGGTGAGTTCTGTTTCTGTTGTTATTATATTGTCCTCTCAAAAAAAAAAAAAAACAGTTGGCATGGCTGCTACTGGTAGATTAGGCATCTTGAATGATTGTCTGATGACCAACAAGCCAACAACAATAATAACAGTTACAGTGGGTCTTGTGCAGCAATCCTTGTGTGCTAAAAAATATTATGTTGATTAGTTCCGAAGTTTGAACCATTCGTTCTGTTTTAGCTATCTTTTCATGTTTGCTATATTGATGTTAATCAACTTTGTTCTTTTGTTGTTTACGGAGGCTGCTGCTGCTATTTTCAGGTTCGGCAAATTTGCATCAACTGTGGTGTATGTATGGGCAGATATTTCTGTGGAACTTGCAAGCTATTTGATGATGATGTGAGTTGTACAATCCTTTTTTGCATTTTGATCTTTTCTTCAATAAGGCAGAGTTCTTCATTTCGGTAATGCTTTATGGTGTCTTCTTAAGCATTTAACACATGAGATACTCGTTGATGTCATGCCCTATGAGTCTGAACAACTCAAAATTTAAGGATTTGTAACATACTCAAGCACGCAAAGACATCTGTTAATGCCTTAACTTGAGCATTAGTNTTTATGGTGTCTTCTTAAGCATTTAACACATGAGATACTCGTTGATGTCATGCCCTACGAGTCTGAACAACTCAAAATTTAAGGATTTGTAACATACTCAAGCACGCAAAGACATCTGTTAATGCCTTAACTTGAGCATTAGGAGTATGCTTATCTAACCTTTATGTACTTCCACTGTGCAGACATCTAAGAAGCAGTATCATTGCAATGGCTGTGGCATCTGCAGGTAATTTTTGACAGATCAGTTTGAAGAATCTTGTAGCAGGAATAACGTCTAACATGTAACCTATTAGTTGTGTCTTCTTGAAGAAAATGAAAGTGAAGGCGATTTTATGCATGATAAGGAAAATACTTTTGATAAAAGTAACACCTAGTTTAGTAGCCATTAATAGGGGTCTGGAAGGGATAGATTGCAGAAATGATTTTTCACTAGGGAAGGATTCTCGGATTTTTTGGCAACACGACCAGTCCCTCTCACCCCATCCGGTAGGGATGTTAATCNAATAGGGGTCTGGAAGGGATAGATTGCAGAAATGATTTTTCACTAGGGAAGGATTCTCGGATTTTTTGGCAACACGACCGGTCCCTCTCACCCCATCTGGTAGGGATGTTAATCATATGCTCATGTTCAGTAACACGACCTAAGTAATATGCTCATGTTCAGTAACACGACCTAAGTAATATGCTCATGTTCAGCTCAGCTCTCTTTTGTACCGTGGTGAAGCTCGAGCTCAGCCTCATGGTTGGGGGGGAAGTATGAAAAAATCCTAAAACTAATGTTCAGTGAGATTCGAACGCATGGTCTCTTGATTAAAAATCAGACGTCTTATCCGTTAAGTTAAAAGAGTGTTGCTTTGTTATTTTTTCCTTACGAACTCTATTTATATATTATAAATGAATTGAGCTCGAGTCTATCGAGCCAAGCAACACATCGCTCAAGTTCTATTTGAATGTTAAAATTTTTAATCATATCCGATTTTTTTTCTAATGTGAATGAACTTGAACGAGTCAAAATCGAGTTGAACTTTCCGTTCCTGTATTTAAATGCATGTATCGTATGTTGCTGTATGATTTTTGTGTTTTCTTTTTGTGTTTTTTCTTTGGTTCAAATTGTTTTCTTGTTCTTGACTTACACTTATTGTGTGTTGTTACAGGATTGGTGGCCAGGAGAATTTTTTTCATTGCTACAGATGTCGTTAAGTCTTGATTGCTTTTTTTTTTTTTCCTTTTCGCCCTCACTGCTTGTGATGTATAAGTTGGGAGCTTTGACTGTACATATGATTTGCTTGTCCTTACTGTATTTTGTGAATGCAATTTAGGATGCTGCTACTCGGTTCTTCTGAAGAATAGTCATCCCTGCGTGGAAGGAGCAATGCATCATGACTGCCCTGTTTGCTTTGAGGTATACGCATCACTTTTGTATTTCTCTGTTCTGTGGAAATTGCATCAGGTTACATTTGGGTGACAGCATCCTAAAAAGAGAAAAATGGCTGCTTGCAGTACCTTTTTGAGTCGAGAAATGATGTTACTGTTATGCCTTGTGGACACACTATTCACAAGAATTGCTTGAAGGAGATGCAGGAACACTCTCAGTGAGTGAAAATCACATTTTCCCTTTTTTATTTGTACAAAAATGGGTTCGGATTTCTGTCTAATTTTGATTCTTTTATGGCAACAGATATGCCTGTCCAATCTGCTCCAAATCAGTTTATGACATGTCAAAGGTATGGGAGAAATTTGATACGGAGATTGCAGCCACACCCATGCCACTATCTTATCAAAACAAAATGGTCAGTTCCTCTTCCTTGTTCCACTTCTCTTTGACTAAGTAAAAGTTTTTATGTCACTTNTGGGTTCGGATTTCTGTCTAATTTTGATTCTTTTATGGCAACAGATATGCCTGTCCAATCTGCTCCAAATCAGTTTATGACATGTCAAAGGTATGGGAGAAATTTGATACGGAGATTGCAGCCACACCCATGCCACTATCTTACCAAAACAAAATGGTCAGTTCCTCTTCCTTGTTCCACCTCTCTTTGACTAAGTAACAGTTTTTATGTCACAAGTTTTTGTGACTGCAACTTGAATTCAATTTGCTTGATCTTATTATGGGGTAAACTGATAGCAGTTTGTTTGCAGATTTGGATTCTTTGCAATGATTGTGGCACCACTTCAGAAGTGCAATTCCATATTGTGGCACGGAAATGTCCCAGTTGCAAGTCCTACAACACCCGTCAAACAAGAGGAAGATGAATTGGCAATAGCAACACCGACAGAATCGGCCCATTAAGAGCGCTAAAATATCTGAACTGGAGAGAGAGACAGGAACTCATGTGGAATGCATCATGGTTTTGGAGTTCTATTCAACCCTAGGGGAACCTTGTGGCCGAATGACAATGGGAGAATGCCCTGCTCCCGCTTCTGGTGCTATCGGGGTAGTTTTTTTCGCATCCTCTTTTCGTTTGTCGTCTTCGTGTCTTTTGTTTCCCTGCATGGTGCTTTCTTACACCATCAATGTAGATGTGTTTTCCAATCCAGTCTATGACAGACTTTTATTTTTGTGATCGATACTCTGCTCTTTTCTGGAATCAAACGTAGGCCATATTAGCCGAGNGGTAGTTTTTTTCGCATCCTCTTTTCGTTTGTCGTCTTCGTGTCTTTTGTTTCCCTGCATGGTGCTTCCTTACACCATCAATGTAGATGTGTTTTCCAATCCAGTCTATGACAGACTTTTATTTTTGTGATCGATACTCTGCTCTTTTCTGGAATCAAACGTAGGCCATATTGGCCAATATTTTGCAAGTGTCTGCAAATTTTAGTGCTTCTTCCAGTTTAGTGAACCTGTTGGAAGACTCAATTCCTGAAGGGTGAGAAGTAAACCCTAGTATGAAAGTGGAGGGAAAAAAAAAAAAAAAAGAATCCCATGCGTAGACATCTCTTTGACTTGTCCATGGTTTTTTTTTCTCTCTCTAATGCATTGTGGTTCTGAAAGAGAGATTTGTTTTTGGGTAAAAAACACAAATTACCCTTGAACTTTGCCTCTAGTTTCAATTAAGCCCTTAACCTAAAATTANAAAAAAAAAAGAATCCCATGCGTAGACATCTCTTTGACTTGTCCATGGTTTTTTTTTTCTCTCTCTAATGCATTGTGGTTCTGAAAGAGAGGTTTGTTTTTGGGTAAAAAACACAAATTACCCTTGAACTTTGCCTCTAGTTTCAATTAAGCCCTTAACCTAAAATTAATCTCTAGCAAGCCCTTCAACTATTAATTTGTCTTAATTAAGTCTTTCTCTCTACTTTTGTCTATGAAAACATAGTAATGTGAGGAGTATATGAACAAAATTTGGATTTACGCGAGTAAAGTGGGATCAAAATCACCACCATATGGAGATACAATAATTGAGTGCTTCTTTGGTTAGTCTATTCATTAAGCTTTTAATTTTTTATTTTGTAGCTGAGTTTTTTGACTGAGACAAGCATGAGTGTAGACTGCAGATAGCTAATTCTTGAATCAAGTACCAATCTACGATAATTTGGAAATAAAATTATCAAATTACGATATTTTTAAATTTATTTACTAAAATTATGACACGTTTTAAAAAAATGGTTTTGGTTACTGGCTACGCTTTCTAACAACTCCCCTTTTAATTTTTTGTCAAACAAGGGAAGAATGTTATTCAGTGTTTCAGTCTGATGTAAAAAGAGGGTGTTAAGTCCAATGAGTTCATTCTTAAAACTGGGGTTTGTTGATCCTGTTTAAGTTTTTCAAAAAGTGTCATAATTTGATAAATATATTTAAAAAGGCCATAGTTTGGTAATTTTATTTCAAAATTGCCTTCAATTGGTACTTAAGTCGCTTACTCTTGCAAAAAGGACATTTTCGTCATTTAAAGCACTCTCAAAGTCTTGCCTCATCTATGATTCTAGATATGAAAACGGAGGGAACAGTGTGTAGGATCTGTGCAGCAGTAGTGGAGATATAGAGAAGGTTGTAATTTCTCTGTAAATGCAGAGTTCAAATGTTAAGGGTTAATATGTTTGGTTTTTTTTATATATAATATAAGGAGCGGGGGCAAAAAAAAAAGAGTCCAAAAATTATCCGATATGCCTTTATTAGTGAGATCATGAGACCCATGTCCACGCCCGTTATTTCTCTCTAGAACAAACGTATTTAAGTTAGTACAATTATCAACCACAGAGTCTCAATGTGAATTTCAAGACACAAACTTGTAACATTGGGATAAAAAATTCAGTCGGTATCATGCTGGACCACCCCATTCAATGTATATGTTTGGTTATTACTTGAGTTGTTCTGCAAAATGCAGAGTTGAGATGTGAAACCCAACAATATCACTTTAATCACATTACTTGCAGCCTGTGCTTTAGAGCCCTCAATGGCATTTGGTTCCATGATTTACAAGTAAAAGAATTACTGAAGTGAATGGCATGTTAGCAACAGCCCCAATAGACATGGGATTGCACTACAGTACGGTGAAAAAAAAAATTGATACCATACCAATTACCACTCTTTTTGGTTGAAACTGACTAACTTTAGAGTTTACTTCCTACTTTTAGGATAAAACTTACTGTCTTTTTGGGGGTTTTTTTACTTTTTCAGTACGGAAAGTAAAATTTTGGTACTGTGGTGTTTTCCAGAAACATGTATTGAAGTGTGGAAGAATTCAAAAAGCCTACGGGCTGTTTTCCGTGAGTAACTGTCAAAACAGTGTTCTTGTGGAGTGCAATGATACCATCATATGCCATAGAAGACCAAACCCAGAAAACAATAAATCTTAACTTGGAAATGGATAAGAAAGGGACAAAACCAAACCTAGTCAATTTCATAGCTATTCTCTCTTCTTTTAGCCATGGAGGTATTGTTGATGAAGGGTACATGGGTTTCAACAAGACAAGTCATTTCTTCAGTATTAGTCTTAAAATTCAGCACTATTGGTGTATGATCTTCTGGGTCTGAGTTGGGCACTTGGAAGAAGTGATAAAGTTCATTTGAAGAATGCCAAATGAAACCCAATACATCAATGGATTCCTTGTTGAGAACAAGTGCAGCACACAACGTCCAATTAGCAGAATATGCAGTTTAACATCTGATATAGACAAGCCCATTCAAAAAAAAAAAAAAAGGGATAGACAAGCTGAATGAATAGGGTTATGGGCTTCTTCCAAGTATAAATGCAAAAACAGGAAGATGGTGATGATGCAGTCTGAAAGAACTACATGGTTGTATTCATGAATCTACTTCTGGAGATTTTCCAATCCTCCGTCTGCAAAAGTTTACTCAATGGTGAATGAAATGCAAGGATGTGTATATGAAGAGAAATTACATGAGGGATCATCACTTTACCATATCAAGAAGCCGGCTTTAGCTTATGGACTTATAGACAGTCCTGCAAGAACTGGTATCCGGGGTGTTGGTAATCTTTGGGTATTGAGGAGTTGTCACTCAGCTTTGAAAATCACATCCAACGTTTATGCAAGAGAGAATGCTATTAAGGATAAGACAACTCTATATTCCATCTGCTCCAAGATGGATCTTGTTCGTGTAAAGCACAGTGGTGAAAGCAGGTTATGCTTGATATGGTAGAAATAACAGGAAGAAACATAGTACAAATTCTCATATCCTCTCACACACAGTATGACATATATGAAGCAAAAATGCAACAGAATATATTATTTGTATAAGTCATTTTTATAATCATTCAAAATTTGGAGCTTGGAGGCTTAACATCAACTCCTGCCCAAAAAGCAAAGATAAAAAATGGGGAGCCACAACGATTGGCTAACCCTTCTCAACAACATACTAAAGCAGTTGTTCAAGTTCATGGTTATATATCAAAGACAGAAATAAGTAAAGCAAAACGTGCTGGTTCCCACCATAACCCACTATGACCATGAAAGATCACACACAATCACCATAAAGAACAATGTACACAATGATCATCCATGGCTGTTAACAAATTCACATAAACAGCTCTTGGTAAACAGATGATCAGGGGTGTCAGCCCATGTGATTATTTCACCTATCGTGGGCATACTGGCTATGACAACATGGGACCTTTATATAGAGATGAACAAGCCGGTCTCAAAAAGTTCGTCACAGCCGTTTGACTTAATAGATTTGCTCACATCATCGGTTTTCTCAATTGCCTCCTCAATCAAAATCTCCTGTGAGCGGCAACTCCAACTGCAAAATGCCTTCTCACCCCTGCAAAGTATCAAACAACCCAGAGTCTCAGTATTTACATCTTAGAAATGTAAAATGCACAAATCAAGATGACACAAAAATATTGTGCAGACCTGTACATATAAATATCTTCCCCCTCCAGTTTCTTCTCGCATGAGTAACAGAAGCTCAAAAAACCACTGGAGGGGTATGCGACAGGGACTTCAGGGAATTTAACCTCTTGAGGCAATGCAACCTCCTGTTCCTCACTCTTAGAAAAATTTGTGTTGTTGTGACATTCCAAAATACAGTCACCAAAAATATGGACTGTTTTGGGGTTGGAACCATGTGTTCTCACACAAGTATAATCCTCAGAGAGCTCAATCTCACTTGCTGAGAGAGACCCTGTTAAACCATTGCCAGAACCAATGGATACCGGGAATGAAGTCGGTGTTGTACCTAAAGAATTACTCAACTTTGAGCTTCCTCTGGCCACATGAGAAGGTGAAAGCACAGGGTTTATCCCATTTTCTGAACAAAAAATCCCAGAACTTGAGTTAGTCATAAGGTTTGTAAAACCGGTAAAATGTGATTCAGACCGTCCAGAATCCAGCGAACAAGATCGGCTTTTTTGAAACAACACGGGGTCTAATGAGGTTTCTCCGATTTCAAACATCACATCAGAATTACCCTTTTGGAGATTGGATGGTCTGGGGTGGGTTTGGGGGGAAATTAAATAGTTTTTAGGCACTGACTTAGATGCCTCAAAAGCACTGTTCTGGCTTCCAAAATTGGGGGTTTTGATCCTCATCTGGGGTCCAAAAAGTATATTTTTACTCTCTGATGATCGGAGGAATCTCCCCGATTGTTTTTTTTCATCATCAAGAGAATCTATAATGCTTAGGCCTACTTTATTGCAATCCCAACTCTTCTGATCCCTCTCATGGGATGACCTTGGAGACCTAAAGGGAATTCCTAGATTTGAGAACACCCTAAAGTCCAATGGTGAAGTTGGGCTTCTAACAGAATCAGACTCTGAACCCTTAGGATTGAACCCTACAAACAGACCAGGAACATTGAAAATTGAATTTGTTTTATGTTTCTGTCCCAAAACATCCGAGTGAGAATAGGACTCTGAAACAACATCAGACATTAGGTGACCCAAGTGTTGATCTTTCTGGTGTGATGTAGTCCTCTTCATCAGCATATCTAACCTCTCTGAAAACAGCACAAGCCCTCTTCTGCAGCAAAACAAAAAAAAAAAATAAGAGAAATTCTTAATAAAACTAATTCTAAATTCACACAAGAACCAATCCAAAGCGTAACACAGAGAATTCTTGAAGACATTAAGTCCATAAGATGTATCAGATGAAGGTACATTGACATCTATATCAAACTGGTTAAAAAACAAATGCTCTCAATCAAGTACTGAAGAACATTAACTAATAAAGAAGAAGACATTAATCCGCCATTAGCAATGTAGCAATAATAATAATAAAAAAATTTGAGTGACTCGAAGAGGAAAAAACTCAGATGAAAGTTTATTCATACATCCAAAAGAAAGATTTTCTCGGAGCTTGCATGAATTGAAAATCTAAACAATAGATGCCTAGAGATGTTATAATAAATTCAAAGTCCCTAAACACCTTCAGATGAATGCTTTGACTGAAACATTAAAGAGGTCTTGAAAAATCCAAAGAAAAGTCAAAATCAAAATTCAAAGGAAAAGTAATGAACAGTGTGGGAAACTTCAAATTCGTATAAAATCACCAAAATCTTTAAAGATTTGTGAGATTAACAGATTCAAAATTTTCTAAACCCCAAATGACTAATTCCTTGTTATTTACACAGCCACCTTCTTGGATGACTTGGAAATTGTAATAAATAATCAAGCGAAAAGAAGATACCCAAATGGGAAAATCCATGGATACACAGATAAAGCTCTGAGAAGTGAAAGATCATGTAGAGAAGTATGATCAGAAACGAAAGGGAAGAAAATAAGAAATCAAAGAGAAGCCCTTGAAAAAAACAAAGAGAAGTACTTGAAGCAATAGCAATGCATCACACTTCTTGGTATTCAGAGAAATAAGGAACGAAAACTCAGACAGAGAGAGAGAACCAACATCTTGAAACTTGACAAAGATGAATGTTTTACAGAGGAGATTGCTCCAAATGAAGTGACAATAAGTTTTCACAAAAGCCTATCCCTAGTCTCCTATCTTTCTTGGGTGTGTGTCTGAACCTTGTGCAGTACTCTTCTGTCTTTCTCCCTCCTCCTCTCTTACCTGCATCAAAATCAGAGCACCAGTGACTTCTCAAATACTCTTCCCTCTCTCTCTAGAATATTTTCGTTTGGGAGTACGGTATTAGTTTTTTTTTCGGGGTCAGAATACGGTATTACTTTTTTTTTTTATCAATATTCACAAATCTATATTTTTTTTGGTACATGAAAAGAAGGAAAAATTATGATGATACACAAAATCGATTTGTACACCACCTGTCAATTAAACAATATAAAATGTAGTAAGTGGAGGGAAAGAGAAGATAAGATTTATAGTGGTTCGGCTAATGAAATTTACGTCCACTTTCAATGGCTAGGTTCGCTTGAAATTTTATTGACTCCGGTACGTTGGGAGAGCAAGAATTACAAGAGGGAGAGGAGATGAGCTTTATTTTTTATGAGATGTCCCCCAAGTGTTGGGGAAGCTTACAATTTATAGAAGCTTGCGTAGTAATTGGGTAGCTTGACGGTTATAACAGACTAAAGACAACTTAATAGCTGATGACCTCTCCTCTTCTTGGCGACCTCTCCTCTCCCTGACGACCTCTCCTTTTCCTCAACAGGCAAAGGTATAGCTCCTAGATGCTCACGTAGTTCCCTAATGGGCTTTACCGTCTTAGACCTCATAGGGCTTACTTGGTCTTCTATAAGTTTGGGCTTTTTCTCATGGATTGGGTCATTTGGGCTTGACCCATTATTTGCCCCCCAATGCCCCATGTCTAATGAAACTTGGAGAAGTGGGCATTCAACTGAATTTGAATTTTGATCCAAGAATACTCCTCACCTGCTACGTCCGGGGATCGACCTGCCCGAACAGGTCGTGAGGTTCCACCTACCCAGTCAGGTGGCGGGGGCTCGGGGGCAGAGCCCCCGGACTTTAAAACGGTTTTCTTAATCAGACACCAAGGCTCCATCTCCATTCTTAATGTAGTTTGCCTTGCTGAACACCTCATATCTTTTCCATTTTTACTTGGATTTTTAAGAGAGCCCTTGGTTTTTAATTTAGGATTTTCCCTCTTTGTAAACCCTAAGCTATAAATAGGAGCCTCCCCTTTTATTCTGCCCACTTCAAACAATCTTGAGGGAGGATGAGAGCTTTTTTCTTGGAATCCTTGAGAACACATTGGTGAGATTTTCTTGTGATCTTTGTAAACCCAAGGCTTGATATTCTTGAATTTGTGTATTGAGTCATCAATGTTGACTGTAGAAGAAGAGATTCAAGCTTCCATTGATATCAAAGAAGGAGAAACTATCATTCAAGGGAGCTTAGGAAAGAGTGGCTTCGGTGTTGGAGTAGAGGTGCCGTTGGGCGCTGCTAGGCGAGCACCTGTTGTGCCCGAGAGGGGGGTGCTGTGCACCCCCTTCGGTGCTGGTTTTCTTGGTTTTGACGANGAGGAGATGAGCTTTATTTTTTATGAGATGTCCCCCAAGTGTTGGGGAAGCTTACAATTTATAGAAGCTTGCGTAGTAATTGGGTAGCTTGACGGTTATAACAGACTAAAGACAACTTAATAGCTGATGACCTCTCCTCTTCTTGGCGACCTCTCCTCTCCCTGACGACCTCTCCTTTTCCTCAACAGGCAAAGGTATAGCTCCTAGATGCTCACGTAGTTCCCTAATGGGCTTTACCGTCTTAGACCTCATAGGGCTTACTTGGTCTTCTATAAGTTTGGGCTTTTTCTCATGGATTGGGTCATTTGGGCTTGACCCATTATTTGCCCCCCAATGCCCCATGTCTAATGAAACTTGGAGAAGTGGGCATTCAACTGAATTTGAATTTTGATCCAAGAATACTCCTCACCTGCTACGTCCGGGGATCGACCTGCCCGAACAGGTCGTGAGGTTCCACCTACCCAGTCAGGTGGCGGGGGCTCGGGGGCAGAGCCCCCGGACTTTAAAACGGTTTTCTTAATCAGACACCAAGGCTCCATCTCCATTCTTAATGTAGTTTGCCTTGCTGAACACCTCATATCTTTTCCATTTTTACTTGGATTTTTAAGAGAGCCCTTGGTTTTTAATTTAGGATTTTCCCTCTTTGTAAACCCTAAGCTATAAATAGGAGCCTCCCCTTTTATTCTGCCCACTTCAAACAATCTTGAGGGAGGATGAGAGCTTTTTTCTTGGAATCCTTGAGAACACATTGGTGAGATTTTCTTGTGATCTTTGTAAACCCAAGGCTTGATATTCTTGAATTTGTGTATTGAGTCATCAATGTTGACTGTAGAAGAAGAGATTCAAGCTTCCATTGATATCAAAGAAGGAGAAACTATCATTCAAGGGAGCTTAGGAAAGAGTGGCTTCGGTGTTGGAGTAGAGGTGCCGTTGGGCGCTGCTAGGCGAGCACCTGTTGTGCCCGAGAGGGGGGTGCTGTGCACCCCCTTCGGTGCTGGTTTTCTTGGTTTTGACGAGCAAGAAGGTAAGCATGACGTTGGCGAGGCTGGGTGCGTGCAATGGAGGTTCTGGGTGCTAAGCAGGCTAATTTCTCCGCTGGGCACGCATCTATTGTGCGCGCAATGGAAGGTCTGGGCGCTAAACAGGCTGATTTCGGTGCTAAGCAAGCTATTTTGGGCGAGCAGAGCACTGATTTGGGTGCTAATCTAGGCGCTAAGCAGGCTGATTTTAGTGCTAAGCGCACGCCTGCTGTACTGCTGAACGCAAGGGAGACTGATATGGGTAAGCAGGCGAGGCAGACAACTTTGGGCAAGTAGCCTGCTACGCTGAGCAGACTGAGCCAGCAGCTTGCTGCACTGGGCAGCTTGGGCGAGTAGCCTGCTACGCTGAGCAGACCGAGCAAGCAACCTGCCACGCTGGGCAGCCTGGGCGAGCAACTTGTTTGAGTTTTTTCAAGCATAACTTCTCAAAATCATTCTCCTAGAGTCCTTTCTGGCTCATACAGAGCTTTAAGCCCTCGTATCACAAAGCATCGAGGTAAGGTAGCTCTCGATGATGATGGGTCCAACGTAAGTACTATCTTTAGCATTTTAAATTTAGACGTCGATATTTTACGGATTATCTCCACCTATCATATTCCTCCGACTGTGCAATGTCGTTGACCGAGATGGGTGAGCCTACTTGCGATGACTCATCTGGTGACATTGTTATTTATGAGGAGGTGTTTGAGGTTGGGCTTAGGTTCCTAATGCCTTCTCCTGTTTGTGGCATTCTGAACTATTTTTCCCTGACACCTAGGCGGTTGGTGCCCAACGATTGGAGAGTGTTGTTAAGTTTCTTGGCATTATGGAAAAGGGTGCACCATGAGGATGCTTTTCCTGAGGAATTTCATGCAGCTTATTACCCAAGTGAAAACTCCTTCTCCTAACCGAGACTAGTATTATTTTACCACGAGGGAAGGTAAGTTGATTATGGGACTGCCCTCTAAAGATCATAGCTGAAAATCCCGCTTCATATTTATCAGCAGAGAATGAGCTTCAGATGCTAATAAGGCGTTAGTTCCAACACGATGGGATACTCCAAAGAAAGTTGGTACACTCTACATTCTTACTCCTCTCTCACCCCATTCTCTGTAGGTTGTGTACTCACTATATTCCTTACAGGTGTTCCTGTGCTCTCCAAAGACCAAGAGTGGAAGCTATAGGCTGTAAAGTCTTACTCTACAAGGGACTTTGAAGCTCTTATTTGCAGGGGTGGAGGAGTTATTGGTTCCTCTTTCGTAGGTGCCAGTGGTCCTTCTCCAAGGTCTAGCGGTCCCTCCTTGAAAAGGAAAGGTATGTTGATTCTCCTGTACCCTCTTATTTCACTTTGGATTTTTTTTTTTTTTTATCTTGGTGACTCTTTATTTTCTTTGGAGCAGTAGATAGGGAGATGATTGGGTCTCGCCTTTGTAGTAGGAGTCCTCATTCTTCTAAGGTGACGAGGACGGAGAGTGTCTCCCATGTGGCCTTTCCAACTATGTTGCTCAAGATAAGCTCTCCCTCAGTCAACCCCTCCACTGGCACCTCGAGCGCCCTCCCATCAAATGACCAATATAGAGGTGCCTCCTCGATTAAAGGCTCCCACAGCTGCACCTCTTATTTCATCCACTTCTCTTGTGGGGACTTCTTCTAGGGCACCTTCTTAGATTAACTCTATGCTGGGTAACGCACAAGTTATCAAGGATCGTCTTGGGAAGTTTTTGTTCACCAACGATGTGAATGAGATTAGTGTCTTGGGCACCGAAGGGATCCTCAACTCTTTCCTAGAAGGCCGGGCTTAGGTAAGGATTTGTTCTCTCTCATTTTTCCCTTCCGTCCATAAGTTTTTGACATTCTTTTGCCTTTAGTTTTTCTTCAAGCCTCCACTGCAGCTATGTGTTTATTTTCAAGGACCCTCCTTTATCACAAGATGAAACACGATCATGAAGTGGTGCAAAATAAGCTTCTTACTGCCTAGAGGAGGATCACTGAGCTTGAAGCTACTGGCAGGGCTTCTGATGTTGACCTTGTGGCAACTCGTGAGAGGGTAGTTGGTCTTGAGACTGAGCTTTTGGCAACCCATGAGAGGATAGACAGGCTCGAGGATGAGCTTGCGGAGACCCGTGAGATGGTCACGTTCAGTGAGGTTAAGCTTTCGGCATCCCATAAGAGGGCGGCCAAGCTCGAGGCTGGGCTTGCGGAGGTCTGTGAGAGGGCCAGACTCAGTGAGGTTGAGCTTTCGACAACCCATGAGAGGGCAGCCAAGCTCCAGGCTGAGCTTTGCAGAGGTCCGTGAGAGGGCCATGCTCAAAGAGGTTGTCACAAAGGCAGAGGTGAAGACAACTCATGAGAGAGCTTCACAAGCTGAGGAGAGGGTTATGATAGTTGAGAGGGACTTTGATAGTGGCCTTGCAGATGCCTTCATTGACGGATATGAGGAGCTTCGAGGAAAGTTTTTAGCTGTTTTTCCTGATATTGGTGTCTTAGACTTCTTGCCAACTGAGGCGTCTGTTGATAGTGATGGAGGTTCTGACGATACCGAGGGTGATGATGAGGAGGAGGATGACGACCATAAGTAGTTAGCATGCTAGAGACTTTTTTGATTTTTTGGTTTTTTTTTTTGAAAAAACATG